ACTCCAACACACGCATGCATACATACATACATACATGCATACATACATACATGCATACATGCATACATGCATACATTCATGCATACATGCATATACGCATACATGCATACCTACCTACCTACCTACATACATGCACACAACCATACATACCTATTCATATACATCCGAACACGCATGCCTACATGCATACATGCATCCACACATATACACATGACTATGTACAAATGCACCTACCTGCATACATACATACATACATACATACATACACACATACATACATGCATGCATGCACGCACTTCTGCATGTACGTGCACATTCACATATACACATGCACAACCATATATACATATGTGCATATATATATATACACACGCACACATGTCTTAACCTGTCCATGCACATCTTCCTATACATATGCAGATGCACAAACACACCCATATCACATATGTTTCCACGTGTATCAACACATCTACACCTGTACAATCGTAGACATATACATATACACACATAATCATATACATTTATACATACACATACATAGACATATACACAAACATCCTTGTGAACACATGCATCCATCTCTACATCTGTAAGCATGTACGTACATACGTATTGCTATGCATGTCCATGCAAGTATATATATATATATATATATATATATCCATTACAGGACCGGGGACCCCCCACCCGCCGAACGACGTTCGATCACCCGGGGCGCCCAACACGGCCCAAAAAGAGGCCCAATACGTTTCCGAGACGGCCCCGGAGCTCCTCTACGGCTTCAGATGGCTCCACGACAGATCAAGAGACTCCCAAAACGCCGAATAAGGCCCCCCCCCAAGTAGCTCGAAGATGGTCCAAAATGATCCCCCACAACGCCCGGAAGAACCCCAAGAGAACGCCAAACAAGCCAACATCGCTCCATTCTTCTAGTAAAGCGTGCATGTTTAACCACATTCGCTCTTTGGTTTTCCAAGGCTCGAGAACGGCTCATGAGGCCTCCCGAATCGCCCCAAAACGGATCCAGAGGCCCCACAAGGGCCCCAAGAGGGCCCCAAGACAGCCCCAGAGAGCCCCACGGCGGCCAAAGATAGCCCCAAGACGGCCCCAGAGTTCCCCGAGACAGCCGAAGACGGGCTCAAGGGGCTCCCAAGAAAGCCCCAAGACAGTCCCATGAATCTCCCAGCAGAGCCCCACGACGGCCAGAGCCCCCTGAGACAGCCCACAAGGACCCCAACACAGCTGAAAAGGGCCCCACGACGGTCCAGAAGGGTCTCTAAGAGAACCTGGAAACGCATAATAACAGGGACTCGCCTCCCACTCCATTCGTGCTTCCCCCTTCTGTGCTCACGACTTCTCCAGAAGGTGGGGCCCCAAGTGGTGGGCGGATTCGGATCTATAGTTGGATCCCTACACGCACGATAGGTTTGAATTATTCACATGGGGCTGTGTCAGGATTTCCCATCACACGGATGGCATTGAATCCTTACCATGCACACACTCACGTATGCATTGTGTTTGATTTGGTGCTCCCACAAGCGGTGTTGCCTGAATCTTAGATCGGAAATTGATATTTAGATTATCATGTTCAACTTACCATGTCTATGTTGCTACCTTCAGACAATTACACTTGTCGCACCTTGCATAGCATACATTTGAAGGCGAGGTTCAGGACTATGCCCACGGAAGTGCTGAAGGATCCAGCAGAAATTTCCAGTAGATGCTAACAGGCGTTCAAAGGCCACCAGAGGCCCCCCAAAGGATCTGATAATGGGACGCACTCGCAAACGATGCGTAGAAATGAGACGACAACAGAATGGACAGTTGATATACAACCGATGTGTAAACACGATAGGGCAAACGGCAACACGGAACCTTCGCCCTTTGTGGTTATGTTTCTTTTTATGTTTGTTATTATTATTTGTATATTTCTCTCTCTCTCTCTCTCTTTGTCCATTGTTATGTCTCTTTCTCTCTCTCTCTCTCTGTCTTTCTCATTTGTTTGGTCCTCGCTCTCTCTCTCTCTCTCTTTCCCTCTCTCTCTCCCTCTCTCTCTCTTTCTCTTGTATGCGTGTTTTTTGTTCTCTCTCTATATATATGTATCAGAGTGAGGGGGCGAACGGTCATTCAGTGTCCTTGGGTGCGTGGCTGAAGTGGAATTCCGCGATGCGGATTCTTGTTGTTGTTGGTGTTGGTGTTGATGTTGTTGTTGTTTGTTGTTTGTTGTTTGTTTGTTTGTTTGTTTGGCGTCGTCCCCCCCGTGGCCCGCCTCGCGATCCACCCGCGACCCACCCCACGACCCACTTCACGCCCCGCTGCGTGACCCACCTTCGACCAACCCGCGACCCATCCCGCGACCCACCCGCGACCCACCCGCGATCCACCCCGCGCACATTGCAATTCTTTACGCTTCGCGTATCCCCGCCAGCCCATCTCACAGCAGCAACTCTTGCGAAACATGCCGACAGTCGTGTTTTTCAGGCGTGCGTCCGCTTGGCCCCGCATATCTCCCCTGTTCCTCCTTCCTCCCGCCTCCTTGTACATCCTCCTTGTGGGGGGAGCGGGAGAAGGACGAGGCGGAGGAGGAGGGAGAGCAAGCGCTCCTCGTGATTTGAGTCGTTTGGGGTTTCTCGTCCTGGTGTGAGTCGTTGGGGCCCTTCTTCCTGGTGTGAGTCGTTCGGGCTCTTCGTGGTGTGAGTCGTTCGGGCTCTTCGTCCTGCTGTGAGTCGTTCGGGCTTCTCGTGGTGTGAGTTGTTCGGGCCCCTCATCCTGGTGTGAGTCGTTCGGGCCCCTCCTCCTGGTGTGACTCGTTCGGGCTCCTCGTGGTGTGAGTCGTTCGGGGCCCGCGTCGTGGTGTGAGTCGTTCGGGCTCCTCGTGGTGTGAGTCGTTCGGGCGCCTCGTCCTGGTGTGAGTCGTTCGGGCCCCTCCTTGTGGTATGAGTCGTTCGGGCTCTTCGTGGTGTGAGTCGTTCGGGCCCCTCGTCCTGGTGTGAGTCGTTCGGGCTCCTCGTGGGGCCTCTTGGGGGCCTCTTGGAGCATCTTGGGGCCTCTTGGTGGCCTCTTGGGGGCCTCTTGGGGGCCTCTGGGGGCCCTCTTGGGGGGCTTGTATGAGCGCTGCCCCTCCTCCTGGTGTGACTCGTTCGGGCTCCTCGTGGTGTGAGTCGTTCGAGGCGCGCGTCGTGGTGTGAGTCGTTCGGGCTCCTCGTGGTGTGAATGGGTCGGGCGCCTCGTCCTGGTATGAGTCGTTCGGGCTTCTCCTTGTGGTGTGAGTCGTTCGGGCTCTTCGTGGTGTGAGTCGTTCGGGCCCCTCGTCCTGGTGTGAGTCGTTCGGGCCCCTCGTGGGGCCTCTTGGGGGCCTCTTGGGGGCCTCTTGGTGCCTCTTGGGGGCCTCTTGAAGGCCTCTTGGGGTCCTCTTAGGGGCCTCTTGGGGGCTCTTGGGCCTCTTGGGGGCCTCTTGGGGGCCTGTTGGGAGCCTCTGGGGGCCTCTTGGGGGCCTCTTGGGGGCCTCTTGGAGGCCTCGTGGGAGCCTCCTGGGGGCATCTTGGAGCAGCTTGTGGGCCTCTTGCGACCTCCGCAGAAGCGCAAATGAGCGCTACCCCCTGAGAAGGACAAAATGAGCCCAACACCTTCGTAAAATCAATGATTTTGAGAACAAGGAAGAGGAGCGCTGCCCCCTCTGAAGGCCCAAATGGGGCCGACACCGTAGTAAAATCAATGATTTTGGCTTCACAGAAGAGGAGAGGGACTTAAGTGCGTCCCCCCGTCGGGGCCAGAATCCTCGTGAGGGTCGTCGTTTTTCGGCCCCCCCAGGAGTCGAAAAAGACCCCTCTGACCACCCGCGGCCCGCCCTCTCCAGGCCCAGGGGTAGGGGGTAGGGGGAGGGGTAAACCCCTCCCCGAAGGGGAAGAAGGGGGGTTGGGGGGTTGAGGACAGAGAGAGCTCTCTAAACCACTCACGCCCAAAGGGCTGGTGGGATTTCAAAAATCGGCGCCTGCGGCGGGCGGTTTTGCATTCGCTCGCGACCCCCGACCCGCGACCCACCCCGCGACCGACCCCGCGACCCACCGCGACCACCCGCGCACGTTGCAATTTCAAAATCGGCGCCTGCGGCGGGTTGTTTTGCGTTTGCTCACGACCCCCGACCCGCGACCCACCCCGCGACCGACCCCGCGACCCACCGCGACCACCCCGCGCACATAGCAAATTCAAAATCGGCGCTTGCGGCGGGCTGTTTATGCGTTTGCTCACGACCCCTGACCGACCATCCGCGACCCACCCGTGATCATCCGCGACCACCCCGCGCACGTTGCAATTTCAAATTCGGCGCCTGCGGCGGGCTGTTTTGCGTTTGCTCACGACCCCCGACCCGCGACCGACCCCGCGACCCACCGCGACCACCCCGCGCACGTTGCAATTTCAAATCGGCGCGCAAGGCGAGCTGGTTTGTTTTCGCTAGCCCCCGACCCGCGACCGACCCCGCGACCATCCGCGACCATCTGGAGGAGAAGGAGGAGGAGGGAGGGAAGGGGGAGGGGGGACTGGGGCAAGGATGAGGAGGAAGAGGAGCAGAGGGACTAGAATGAGGAGGAGGAGGAGCGCCAGCGACAAAGAAAGTGAGGGCCACGGAATCCGCAACCTCGATGCCCGCAACGCTTGCGCCCGCCCCCTCACTCTTATCCGCAATTGCGGGGTGCTACGTATATATACATATATATACACACATACATAGCTTCCTGTCTCTCTTTCCTGATGTATATATATATATTTCTCTCTCTCTCTTTCTCTCTCTCTCTCTCTCTATTTCTCCCTTTCTTTCTCACGCGCCCCGCCTGCCGCCTGCGCGCCAATCCTGAAGGGCCGCGGTGCATGGCGCGAAGCGCCAATGCAGTCTTGTACATATACATATTTGCCTCCGTGGAATGGGGCCCGGGGAGCGGCGGCGGCGGATCGCGCCGCGTCGCCGATGCATCGGGGGTGCGATTCGATGTGGAGCCCGATATGTTTCCGAACCGGCGTCGCCGATGCATCGCTGACGTCGCCGATGCATCGTTGATGGCATCGACGCCGCGGCGCGATCTTCCGACCCTACTCTTTTCGAGCCCAGCTGGGAAGCTTCTACAAATGCACCGCGACGTTTGGTTGGCCAGAGAGCCAAGTGAACGACAGAAGGCAAGGGGGTCGATCGCGCGGACTCTGGCGCGTAAGCTCCCCGCGGAAGGTCGCGCGTAAGCGCCGTCTTCTCCGCGCGGTGTGCCACGCTGGCGGCCCGCGTGGGCCGTGGCGCAAGGTCGCTATGCCTTTTTGCGTAAGATTCGTTGCCCTTCGTCCTTCCAGTAGTTCCACGAATGAAGGGACGCTCTGTAGAGGCGCTCCAGCATCCAACAGGTTGGCAGGCTGGGGCGCCTATGGGCCGGGCGTCTTGGCCGACCGAGCCAGGCGCCGTATGCATCCAGTCATCCCCCCAGGCCAAGGACGGCCGCGGGCCGCGCGGCGGTGGCCCCGAGGTGGGCGCTGCTGACGGGAAGCCCATACCGCCGGCGATGCGATTACGGTCGGACCGAGGTATATAAGATCGAGGTCGGTCGGGGGAGGGTGTCCATCATATTTTTCGTGCTTGTTGTGCGTTCTGATGCATCTTGGGGGAGGGTGCCCTCTATTGTTTTTTTCAGTTTGGCCAACAGGGCGTCTCATGTTCTTGAAGGGTGCTATTCTGTCCAAGGTCCGGCCGTATTTGAATCGTGGCGTGTTCCTTCGTTCCAGCCTTTTTGGAGCCCTCCGGGGCCCTTCCCTCTTTTGGTTCTCTCTGGCGATCTTGGAGTTTCTTCCCAACCCTCCCTTGGTTGGGTCCTCGTTTTGAAAAGACCTCCCGCCTCCTCCTCTCTCCTCTCGCCTGCCTGCATGTGCCTACTTGCATGCCTGCCTCGCTGTCCGACTCGCTCGGGGGATGTGCAGTGTGAAATTGTCGTCCCTGTTGATGGCTGCGGGGAGGGGCAGCACAGTGCAGGACATCGCAGATTCCAACGGGACCTCGCCATCCCTGGGTGGTTGCGAAGTGCGAAAATGTCTTCACTTTTGAGGGCTGCTGGGGTGGGCAGCACAGTTTAGGACATCGCAGGTCCAAACGAGACCTCGCCATGCTGCCATTTTCGAGGGCTGCGGGGGGGGCAGCATAGTGCGAGACATCGCAGATCCAAACGGGACCTTGCCATCCCTGGGGGGCTGCGAAGTGTGAAACCATCGCCACTTTCGAGGGTTGTTGTGGGGGGCAGCATAGTGCGGGTCATCGCAGATCCAACCGGGACCTTGCCACCCCTGGGGATGAAACCATCGCCATTTTCGAGGGCTGCTGAGCGCAGCGCGGTGCGGGGCATCGCAGATCCAAAGGGGACCTCGCCATCCTGGGGGATCTGCAAAGTGTGAAACCGTCGCCACTTTCGAGGGGCTGCTGGGGAGGGGGCAGCACAGTACGGGACAGCGCAGATCCAAACGGGACCTCGCCATCCCGGGGGGGTTGCGAAGTGTGAATTTGTCGCCGCTTTCGAAAGTGCTTGTCTGGGCAGCACAGTGCGGGACATCACATATCCAAACGGGACCTCGCCATTCCGGATGACTGCGAAGTGCGAAGCGGTCGCCACTTTCGAGGATTTCGTGGGGGACAGGACAGTGCGGGACATCGCAGATCCAAACGGGACTTCGCCATCCCTGGGGGGTTGCGAAGTGTGGAATTGTCGCCACTGTCGAGGGCTGATGGGGGGGCAGCACAGTTTAGGGCTGCGAAGTGTGAAAGCGTCGCCATTTTCGGGGGTTGCTGAGGTCGCAGCGCAGTGCGGGGCATCGCAGATCCAAACGGGACCTCGCCATCCCTGGGGGGCTGCGAAGTGTGGAACCGTGGCCACTTCCGAGGGGCTGCTGAGCAGGGCATCGCAGATCCAAACGGGACCTCGCCATGCTTGGGGGGCTGCGAAGTGCGGAGTGGTCGCCACTCTCGAGGGCTGCTTGGGGGGGGGCAACACAGTGCGAGACATCGCAGATCCAAACTGAACCTTGCCATCACTGGGGAGTTGCGAAGTGTCAAATTGTCGCCACCTTCGAGGGCAGCTGGTGGGGGCAGCACAGTACGGGACATCGCAGATCCAACCGGGACCTTGCCACCCCTGGGGATGAAACCATCGCCACTTTCGAGGGCTGCTGAGGGCGCAGCGCGGTGCGGGGCATCGCAGATCCAAAGGGGACCTCGCCATCCTGGGGGATCTGCAAAGTGTGAAACCGTCGCCACTTTCGAGGGGCTGCTGCGGAGGGGGCAGCACAGTACGGGACAGCGCAGATCCAAACGGGACCTCGCCATCCCGGGGGGGTTGCGAAGTGTGAATTTGTCGCCGCTTTCGAAAGTGCTTGTCTGGGCAGCACAGTGCGGGACATCACATATCCAAACGGGACCTCGCCATTCCGGATGACTGCGAAGTGCGAAGCGGTCGCCACTTTCGAGGATTTCGTGGGGGACAGGACAGTGCGGGACATCGCAGATCCAAACGGGACTTCGCCATCCCTGGGGGGTTGCGAAGTGTGGAATTGTCGCCACTGTCGAGGGCTGATGGGGGGGCAGCACAGTTTAGGGCTGCGAAGTGTGAAAGCGTCGCCATTTTCGGGGGTTGCTGAGGTCGCAGCGCAGTGCGGAGCATCGCAGATCCAAACGGGACCTCGCCATCCCTGGGGGGCTGCGAAGTGTGGAACCGTGGCCACTTCCGAGGGGCTGCTGAGCAGGGCATCGCAGATCCAAACGGGACCTCGCCATGCTTGGGGGGCTGCGAAGTGCGGAATGGTCGCCACTCTCGAGGGCTGCTTGGGGGGGGGCAACACAGTGCGAGACATCGCAGATCCAAACTGAACCTTGCCATCACTGGGGAGTTGCGAAGTGTCAAATTGTCGCCACCTTCGAGGGCAGCTGGTGGGGGCAGCACAGTACGGGACATCGCAGATCCAACCGGGACCTTGCCACCCCTGGGGATGAAACCATCGCCACTTTCGAGGGCTGCTGAGGGCGCAGCGCGGTGCGGGGCATCGCAGATCCAAAGGAAACTCGCCATCCCTGGGGATCTGCAAAGTGTGAAACCGTCGCCACTTTCGAGGGGCTGCTGCGGAGGGGGCAGCACAGTACGGGACAGCGCAGATCCAAACGGGACCTCGCCATCCCAGGGGGGTTGCGACGCGTGAAATTGTCGCCACTTTCGAGGGTTGCTTGGAGGGGGCAGCACATTGCGGGACATCGCAGATCCAAACGGGATTTTGACATCTCTGGAGGCCGCACAATGCGAAGCTGTTGCAACCGAGGGAGGAGGAGGAGGAGGAGGAGGAGGAGGAGGAGGCGAGCGAGGAGAGCGAGGAGGAGGAGGGGGAGGAAAAGTACGAAGAGTACGATTATCCGGATCTCCTCGAAGAGACATTCAAGTCGCAGGTGCGGTCGGGCCACGCGAGCGCCACACGAATTTACCGGTGAACGAGGGTTCCGTCGAGGACGACGTCGCCGTCGTTGATCCTGCAGGCGGCGATGGTGGCTCCAGCGCAGTTGCCGCCCAGAGCGTTCACCATTTCATGGGTCAGCTGGACGACCGGTTGTATCGCGACACGGATCCCATAGTGCGCGACATGACTTTGTACGTGTACAGCATGTCGGACACTTTCGTGCAGCGGGTTGCGCTGGAGCCGCACATCCCGATGGCCGAAGGCATGCAGTTCATACCCGAGGCGGATGCGGAGGCGCAGTGCGTTATGAAAGCCATTCTCTTCCGCCCCGTGCATCCTTGTCACGACCTTCCCAAATTTGACCAAGGAACCGCGCCTGCAGCAGGCGTATTCGGCGTTGTGCACAGCGCTGCCCGGGGAGGACCCGGGTTTCGGCCCAGATAACCCAGGACCGCTCCAGCGTCGTTGGGAGGCCTTCCACGCAGAGCAGGAGAAAGAAACGTCTGAAGCACGGCGCGAGAATCGCCTGGCGGCCGATGCTCAGCGTCTAGCGGACCGTCGAGGCGCGCGGGCGGCTGTTCCAGATCGATGTCGCAGAAAAGAACGGCGAGGAGACCGACGATGCGCTTCCAGAGAGGGAGATAGCGCCGTTGCCTTCGGTTTTCGGTGCGAGAATAATACATCGCGGCCGCCACGCCGGAAACTCCCTGAAACTTTGCCCGCGTTGCCCGGGCGCGCGCGTGGCCGAGGCAAAAGAGGGGGGCCGACGACGTTGCGGCTGCATCCCAGCTCATCGCCGGACGGACAGATCGAGGCGGCCGCCCTGCGCGCGACGGCCGGCCTCGCACCCCTGGGCTCCGACATGAGGATTGCCCACCATTGTAACCCGGGGCTCCTGCAACATATTTTCGCTTCGAGGCGGCGGGCGGCGCATGGAGATTCGCGAGGGAAAACCTGAACACGCCTGCAATGACGTTGGACGACGTTGGTCTGCCCGCGCCTCGACGCCGCGATGAGTGCGCCGGCCAGCGCGCGCCCCGCGTGAAGGGGGGCGTCCTCGGGCGCCACGACGCGCTGGCGCACGGGGGCCCAGCCGCGCTGGAAGGGCCAGTGAACGCACAGAGGAAGTCTTGGAACGGGGGCCCAGCCGCGCTGGAAGGGCCGGTGAACGCACAGAGGAAGTCCTGGAGCTCCCAGACAAGCGCCGTGGAGGAGCTGCCAGACCAGGACTATCAGTTGAGCGGAAGATCGGGACAAATCGGAACCAGAGATTCTGGGAAAGTTCCAGAGAAAAATAGAACGCCGATTTGTGGAGCGCAGCGCGCGTATTCGCAGAAGTTCCCAAAGAGTGTTCGAGGGCTTGAGGAGCCCAAGTAACACATGGGCGCTCAATTGAACTGTTGAGGGCGGGCAGAAAATCTGGTGCGCACGAGCATTGCGAGCGGGTGCACGGCTTGCACGGGGGGCACAGTAGGTTTGCGTTTCAGGGGCTTGGCCGCTGGCCGACGCGTTGATGGGGGGCCGAGAATGCGTCACACATATTACGCCTGTGGCGCCATGGAGGCCGCATTTGCGGTTGCAATTGGGCGGGCGCCCCGCCGCGCGCACTGTGGCGACAGCTCTCTTGGGCGCCCGCCCGCCGCCGTGGACGTAGTGGACCCAGCTAGTCTCTCGGTCGGCGCGCGGCGGGTCGGCAGCCACGGCGCTGGCGGCTTGAAAATGCTTCGAGAGTGTTTCTCTCCGAGCCCGGCGCTATTGTACGTTTTCGGTGGCACGCGCAGCTCGGAGAAAAATCGCCTTGTCCGTCGGCGGCCAGTTGGCTGTCGTCGCGCAGAAGTACCAGCGGATGGCGCGGTCCACGCTCAGCGCAGAGAGCGCGTCCATGAGCGTGGACTCGTCGAGGGGCAGGAGGAAGGACCTCGCGGTCGGGACCATCGCGGCCCGCGATGTCCACGGCCCCCACCCTGGGCGCGCGAGGACCTGCTGGGCGCCGCCGCAGCGCGATTCCAGAGAATCTCGGAACCAGAAATCCGGGCGCGCCAAATTTCGCGGGCCGAAAAAACTTTCAGAGAGTTTCGGCCAGCTCCGAGGTTTTGGGTTTATGGGAATGTTTCACGCCGGGTGGCTAGTTCAGAGATTTTCAGAGATTCTCAGAGAAGTTCGGACGCGAGAATTTGGCGCGCCCCGGTTTCTGGTTCTGCGAATCTCTGAAAAGCGGTTCCTTAGGTTGTACCCGGTCTCCAGGCGTCCTACTGTCAGCCAGAGACGAGCGACTGGCTGGCGCCGCGCCCGATGCTTCCGGAGTTGCGAACTCGCTCTTCGATTCCCTGGGGCCCGCGGGCCCCTGGGCCAATCGCGAGGTCGCCGAGGCCCCTGGCGGTTGCGCGCGATTGTCTCGGAAACCGGAGTTGCATATCCATGGTGGACGCCCGCGCGCACGCGCTAGGTGTCCGCGAGATTGTTCGGTGGCGGATCTTGCATGGCGTGGGGACTTTCCAAAGACTTTCCGGGGTGTTCTCTACGGTTATTTCGGCGCGCTTCGGGAACCCTGGGGCTGCGCGGGGAAGTCGCCTGGCCGCGCGCGGGACTTTTTTTCCAATGCCATCTTGGGCATTATCGCGGTGTTGCGTGGCCTAAGAGGTCACTGAGCAACGCGCATTTTGATATTTTCGTGTTTTTTTCGTTGCGTTGGTTGCGTGATTGTTTTGGCGGTCCGCCTCCTTGGGGCCCCCTTGGGGCTTCAAGTTTGTTTTGTCGACGTCGGGTCTTCTGGAGTGCAAGGCGCTTGGCGCTGAATTCCCTCGGGCGCGCGCGTGGCCAAATACGCGCCGTGGCTTCATCCGCGCCAGGGCGCATTTCTTCCCTCGCGAAGCCGATGGCGCCCAAGGCGTGGCAGGCCCGTTCGGCGGCGCGCCTGGTGATTTGAAAAACCGAGCATTATTTTTATCCCGGTCAAAGTTTGCCCCGATCTTGGCTTCGTCTTAGACTACCCAACACCTCCTGGGATAGAGGACAGCGGTCGTCCTTTGGGCCCGCACGCAGAACGCGTGGCCGCGCGCCGAGGCCCCGAGCCAAAGGCGCGCTTCGCGCCCAGCGACGCGCGGCGCCGCCCGCGTGACTACGCGGCGCGCGTCGCGAAGAAGTTCGAGGATTGGCTTCTCGACCCGATCGCCAAGACGCGAGTTCTGCGCGCGCTGAAGCAGGGCCAGGCGTTTTTCCGGACTTTCATGTTTGCGGGGGGGGGGGGGGGGTCTGCAATGCCGCGCGGGAGGGCAGGCAGGAGGGCAAGCCCCGGGGGGGGCAGCAGACCACCCAGATGCCGTTGATGGGCCAGGGCGACTCCGGCAAGCCGGCGATCGCGCAAGAGATCGCGCCGCCTGCCATGGACTTCCAGCGGGCAGGGCACCGCCCGGATCGTCTGCGCCAAGTGGCGCTGGGCAGAGAATATCTCCCCCGATCCACGCACTACGACCGCGTGCCGCAGAGCAGCGCAGATGGGCAGCAGGGAGCACCGCAACCACGCGAAGTTGCCCGCTGCCGATGTCCTGATATGACTCAAGATGATATGGGAGCGCCTGCTGCCGTTCGTCATCGGGGAGGTCAGCGCGGCGCCCCCGGGGCCCCTTCCACGCGCTCGCCCGCCGCGCGTTCCGCGCCGGGGGAACTCGCTGCAACTTGCAGGGGGCGAATTGCCTGAAGCCCTCCTGCACCTTCGGTCTCGTGCCTATCGCGATCTACCTCGGGGGCTTCCTGCAGCTCGAACACGCGCGCTCGGGCGCGCCGCTGCTCTTCGACCGGCGGGCGCTGCCCGCGGCCGTCGGTCGCGGGGGGGGGGCCGCCCGTCGCGTCGGGAGGCCACGAGGTTATTGCGCAACATCGTCCTGCGCTTTGAGTTCATGGCTACCAGCCGCTTCGAGGGCCCCGGCCTTGCCGACCTCGCGCACTTCGCGCGGCGCCCGACGACGGGGGCGGCCCCGCGCGGGGTCGCGGAGACTGGCGGCGCGACCGGACGACGCCCAACGACTGGCGGCCGTGCGAACGGGACATGATCGGTTGGTTTTGGGGCGCCGCGGCTCGGCGGCTGATGGCGCGCGCGAGGAGAGATGCCGCGTCTGCCGGGCAGGCGCGTCGCCCCGCCCACGCCGCCGACTCGCCCGCGCCACCGTTGCCTGTCGACCTGGCCGCTGAGTCGTTCGCGGGCGGTCCAGGGGCCGGGTGGGGGCCCCCGGTGGCCGAAAACAGCAAAAAACTCCCCGTCGTGTTTTTTCTTCGCAGCGAGAGGGGCCAGGTCAATCCGGGCGTCGATGGCGGCGCTCGCGGGACGTTGCCCCTGCGCGCCGGCGCTCGCGCGCCCGCTGGAACACGTGGACCTCGCAGAAGCGCGCGAAGAGTGCCGAGGGCGAGGTCGCGCGCTCGGCCACCAACCCGGCGGGCGAGGGCGAGGCGGGGGCAGCGAAGGCAGAGCGACAGTGGACACTGCGCTTACCTGCGTCACCTGCCGCGCGGAGCGCGGACGCGCGCGGGCAACTTCATGGCGGGCCGCTGCGGCGAGGAGCTCGCGGAGCTCGTGGCTGGCCTGCATCGGCGCCGCGGATGCAGTGGGCCTCGCTGTGCATCGCGCCGCAGACCACGGGCCCGCTCGATTTCGCAGGCGCGAGGTCACGCGCGCCGGGCCAGTCATTCCGCGCGCCGAGGTCCTCGCGCTCGAGGCCTGCCACGGCCGGGCCATGCTCGGCGGAGTCATCGTCGACGACAGGCGCAATGCCACAAACGACGCCCTGGATTCGTCTCGACGCGATCGAGAGCGACCTCGGTGGGCAAGCTGCTGATGTTGCGCGACCCTGGGCTCGATGTCCTTTCCCGCGGCCCGTCCGCAGACGCGGCGGCGCGCCCGCGCGCGCCTGGCGCTCGCGCTGAGAGTCGCAGGGGGGAGGGGGGGGAAGAGGCTGGCGTGCGAGCTATGCCTTCAGCGCTTCTTACACTCATTGCGAGAGCCTTTCAATTTCCGAGGCCCTGGAGTTTCGCGGCGCGCTGGCCGCGCATGCGCAGAGCATTTCGACATGGGAACGCAGGGCGCTTTATTGTTTGGTTGCGTCTTCGTTCACATCGCGTTATATTGCCCATTCCCTATCATCTCGCTGCTTCTTCCACCCCGATGTATTCCTTCTGCTTTTCTTTTCCAGCACTATGTCTCCGGGCCTTTTTTTGCACCTCTGTTCTGCGAGTCGCCCACGCACGCTTCGCGCGAGATAGGTATTCCCCGTGCGACCGTCTCTTGCGTCGTTGCTGTCAGAGTATTGACGGCGTACTTTCAAAGTTTTCCCGCGGCGCCGATGGGCCGGGCGCGCGCTGGCGCCGGCCGCGGCAGAGCGCGCCCTGAGTGGGGCAAGAGGAGGGAAGAGGAGCAACAGCAGGAGGAAGGGAGGGAGGGGGAAGGGGGCGAAGGAGGAACAAACAAATGGGATAGTGAGACAGGCAAGAGAGGATGAAAAGAGGATGAGGAGGACGAGAACGACCGGAGACGGAAGAGGAGGAGGATCCCGTGCGACAGTCGCGCCTTGGGCAGATGCGCTCCTGGCTGGCCGTCGCAACCGCGCTTGTCTTGAGTTCGAGCGAGTTTCGAGGGGAAAACAAAGGGAGCACATATCGGTTTTTTAACACCAAGGCTCCCGAAACGTCGCGGACCTCGTCGTTGCGGACGTCATTTTCGTCACCCCTCTTCACCTGCAGCGTTGTTGTCGCGCTATTGTCGGGGCGGCTTGTGCGATTCCCTCGATGCCTATGGGTTTGGTTCGTCGCATGTCATGGTGAACCGCTGAGTCCACTTGGTACCCAGCATTCAAGAAAACAGCTACTCATTCATGACCACTGGGCGTCGGAGGGTTTCTTGCTTTTGGGGGGCGTTTCGGGATGCTCCGTGGTTCGTGGCGTGGCTTCATGGAACCGATTTGGGGAGATCGTGGGGCCGTTGGAAGCATGCACGGAAATGTGTTAAGCAGGTTTGTGTCATCTTGGGGCCAATTTGAGCCATCTTGGTCGCTTTGAGCGCTCACAGTGCACCTTGTCCAGACCCGACGGGGGGGGAGGGGAGGGATAATCCCCTTCCCGAAAAGGGGAAAGAGTTTAGACGAGGAAACGTTTTTAACCACCTCCGCCCTGAGGGCTGATATGATTCAGGTGTTCGGCTTGCCTTGCATGGATTTCAGGGCGTTCCCCTCAAGTTTCCGCGCGTGTCGTTTCATATTCCCCTTTTGACATTTGAAGATAGGCAGTTACATGTGTGCATGTCTCGCGCGGGACTTAGGATTGCATCCCCCGTTACCACAATAAAGTACGCGCAAGTTTTTGGTGCTGATTGATACCGCCTGGCAGAAGCCAGGCCGTGTCGTATTCGAGCACCAAACATGCATCATTCGGAGGATGCGGATCCAGCCGACAGATTGACGACACCATGCCAGGGCCCCGCCTAGCCAGACATGACAGCGGGTGCACTGGCGTCTTCTGCGCAGTCGCCTCTTAGGGGAACGGTTGCTCGAGGTCCCTCCCTCGTCACGTTATGCCTCCCCGAGCCTTTCCCGGGCCTGGGCCATCAACGGTCGACTCGGTACGAATAGTTCCACAGGGGAGGGTTGCGGGGCTCACTCATGAAGATCCCGCTTCCTTGTTTTCAGCCACGTTTCGCAGCACACGCGTGGTGCACAGCTGGAGGCTTGATCTTGGTGTCCGCTCCCATCTCCCGTCCCCCCTTCATAATTTCGGACGAACAACCTTTCCTTATGCCAGCAGCGAACCCGTGGGAGAGGTGAGAGGGGGCGGGCCTTCATAGAGGGCGGCGGGGTTTCTCTGAACCCCCTCCGCCTTTCCAGAATTTGTTTCAGCCTCCCCGAAGCTACAGACAGCTTCGCGGGAAGGTGCGAGGACTTTGAGAAGACCCGCCGCCCTCTGAGAAGGCCCACTCCCTTTCAGGGGAGGCCAAACGTATTCCTGAACAAACGTACCATAGTGCGGCGGCCTCAGGGCCCACCTCGGGGCACCGGGCGGGTGTGTTTTGGCGCCCACTGTGGCTGGAACCGTGGCCGCTGCGACACCTCATTGGGTGTACGCTGTCCTGGGCGTTTGGACCTCCCCAACCCTCCCACTCCCCCATGGGGCTCGCCGCCGATGATGCCAGCGGAGGTGGCGCGGCCTGCTGGCTGGGGGACGCCCGCCTCCGTCCTCGCGCGGGCTGGGGGGCTGGGGGGCGCGGCCCAGCTGGCGCGACTGCGAAAGTCCATCCGGGGCCCGGCTCTCCACGACCGTTGCGCACAGGTTGGAGCCTGCTGGGGACGCCCAGGAATAGGTACCAGCCCGCGGAGTGGGTGGATCCAACCCTCTCCAAAATCGGAGGGAAGAAAGAGGCAACGTCATCACCACCAACAGGGCCAACCCCAAGACAGGAGCGTTTTTTTCCTCTCGGGCGATCGCGGGCGTTGCCGGGGAGCGGTGGGGGGCGAGCAGGGGTCTAGTAACGTCACGTTTCGCGCCGGCGCGGGAACGCATCGGAATCACCAAAGACAAACCTGTATCCCTGCGCACTAAGGAAACCAGACAAAACCCGAAAATGCTCGCTCCTGTTTTTCCTTCTCCCGCGCCCCGGCGCCCCTCACCGCCTTCCCCCACGATCCTCGCATGGCTATACTTCGCCACCCACGTTTCTCACAGCGGCTGGTCTTCACCGCCGACCCTTCACGCAAAGGCTCGCTTTCGCCTCCGTTCGGGACCTCGGGCGCCGAAACAAATTTTCAGGATGATGAGGAGGAGGGCGTGGAGGACGAGGAGTAGGAGGACGAGGAGGAGGAGGAGGAAGAGGAAGAGGAGGAGGAGGAGGAGGAAGAGGAGCAGGAGGTGCAGGACGAGCAGGAGGAGGAGGCGGCCGCACGCTGATATCGCCAAGTTGGATCTCCAGCTTGCGGAACTGCGGCGCACAAGGCTCGCGGCGAAACTGTTCCTTTGGCGCGGCGGTCGCACAGTCCCTCACGAACCTCGCCGTCAACTGGTACACCAAAGGGGGGGAACCCAGGGGGCCGCCACGGGGGAAGTTCATCATTTTTGGGAGTCTTGGACCGTCTTGGAAGATGTTTGGATGATCTTGGATGATCGGAGACAGCCCGGGACCAGCAGGGTGACTCGTGGCTAACCTTGGGCAATCCAGGGTAATCGTCGAACGTTTTTGGTGCACGTTCGGCAAATGTTGGACACTTCTCGATACTATACTCTTGGGCTCGGCTAGCCTGTGGCCACATTGGATCGTCGTCGCTCGTTTGGGAGAGAATTGGACTCTTCGGGACCATCTTGGACAATCTTGGGCAGCGCGGGGTAGTCTTAATCGTCTCGGGCGGCCTTCGATCGTCTGGGACAATCCCGGACGTTTCTGCGGGCGCCCGAACGTTCTGGCCAGCGAGAGAGCCATCTTGCCCGCTAGTGAGGACATCTGGCGGGGCCCGACGAAAACGGGGCGGACGTCGTCAAGCTCGCGCCCGCCCGCGACGGCGCCCAGCGTCGGAAGCCAACCGAGGACATCGATGGCGTCGCGCCCTAGGTGCGTCTCCGCCTGGTCGAGTCCACCCGAACCGAGTCGGGCCCAGTCGCGTCGATCCGAGACGAGGAGCGCCGAACCGAGTCGCGCCGGGCCGAGTCGACGGCTCGCGCCCGTCCGAACCACGGCGGCCTCGCGGGCGGCTGGCGACCTCCGCCTCCCCTGGAAGGCCCTTTCGAATAAGTCCCAGGCAGCGCGCGAGGAATACTTGAGCGCCCGCCCCCCGCGTTGAAGCGCGACTTGCGGGGCGCGGCAAAGTGGGGCCTCGCGCTGGCGGGCGGCGCCTCGACCTGTTGGCCTCCGTCGCGCCGGCCTCGCCCCCGCATGTTTAATGCTCGCCTATCTATACCGCCGCCCTTCGGGCGATGCGGGGATTCGAGGGGGGGGTGGCGGGCTGGCGCCCCGTCCGATCGATATTGCGCGGTCGCACCGTGGGCCCCGCGATCGATCCCAGCGTCGATCTCGCTCGTCCGATCTGGATCCCGCGATTGACCCCGCAGTCGGCCTTGCTCGACCGATCTCGCTGGGTCGATCTCACGACCGACCCCGCTGTCGGCGCCACTCGTTCGATTTCCCTCGATCGCCCCCACGATCAATCCCGCGATCGATTTCATTTGTTCGACCCCGCTCGATTGATCGCGCGATCGCTTCTATGTTCGACAATTTCGCAGGCGAACTCACAATCGACCCCGTTAGTGATCCCACTTTGGATCTCGCGATCGGCCCCCCCGATCGATCACATTTTCGATCTCCCTATCGGTCCTGCCATCGGCCCTACACTTGATTCGCTCGATCGACCTCATTCTCGCCCCCGCCGTCGAACCCGCTGCGCCGCTTGCAACCGACCTCGCGAGCGATATCGTTAAATCGGTTTCAATATCGATCTCACAACCGACCCCGCTGCCGAGATGCGCCGTCGATCTCGTCATCAATCTCGCCCGCGGTCGCGCCGTCGATTTCGCGATCGACCCCGCCATCGGCTTGCGTGCGCGCCCGAGGTTGGCGGGCGAGGCGAACGGGCCTGGGGCCGCCGCGCGCTTTCCGCTCTGCCCTGGGTTCACGGCGGCCGCCAACTACGCGCGATCGCTGATCGCTTACTTGGGCCCGCCTAGCGCCGCAGATCGGGGCGCGCGCCTCATCGGCCAGGCCGGTGAAACGCGCGCGCGGGCCCCTGGGCGCAGGGCGGGCGCTCGCGGGGTCGGCGCCGGCGATCGGTTGGCGCCCGCTTTGGCCTGGCGCCGAGACGTGCGCCAGCGCGTTCTCGGGCTTGTCCGCGACCGCCCTGGGCTGCAGAGAGCCGAAGGCGCCGACGTCCGAAACCCGCCTCGCCGACGTGCCCCACGAAGGCCCACGGGCGCCACTTGTAAAATTCCCCCGCCCGCCGAGCGACGGATGGGCCCAGGTGCCCAGGCGAACTAGCGGATCGCCCCTGCACAGCAACCCGTCGAGTCGGTCGGTCAGCCCGCGTTGCGAGCAAGCGACCCGCTGGGCCGAGCTCGCGCCGCCCTCGGGCGCCGGCGCCGGCCGCGAAGCCAGTCGCCCCCCCCGCGCGCGAAGTGGAGCGCGGGCCCCGATGCTCCCCCGTAGATTTGCAGCCGCGGCAAGGAGGCACCGTCTCCGCCCCCCTTCCTTCTCGCGCGTTCCGTCCTCTCATTATCGCAGCGCTGAGGGCCCGCGTTCTTCTTGCCCCGCCTGGCGCGCCCCTCGCTGCTCGAGCCGCTCTCGTTTTAAACGGTTACTATTTCGCCGGCGCCGAGGCCGCGGGCGGCGGAGCGACGTCGGTGACCTGCTGCGACATGCATGGCTGCGGCGGCCGTTCGCAGAGGCATCTCGGCATATTCAGGCCAGTTACGAGGCATCCCTCTCGGCGTGCCCTCCTGATCTTTTGGCCCATCTGACTGCTTCGTCGCCTGAGCTCCCGATCTCTTGGACCTCTGACCTATGGGCCTCGCTATTGGGGCCCGTTTCTGCATTGCTTGGGGCGCGGTGGGCGCCATGGCCCCCGCGCCCCCCCCCCCCCCCCTGCGACGCAGCGCCCCCCCCCCCCGGCGCGCTCCCGGCATTGCCGCCGCGCGAATTGGGATCCGCGCAAGCGTTCGCGTAGGAATCCGCGCGGGAGTCTGGTCCGCAATCGTTGTCGTCGTCGACGTTGTCGCCGTTGTCGTCGCTCGTGGCTCGACGCTCGTCGCTCGCAGTCGTCGCGCGCGCGGACGCGGCCGAGGCCTGTTTTTTATTCCGGGCCGACGGCGGCAATCACTTTGTGGGGGTGTGGGGGGGGGGTCGATGACGTCGCGCGCTGGCGGCGTCTGGGAATGTCTAGGAATGGCGGGGGACGGGTTGCGCCGGCATGTAGGTGGCGAGTTGCACCGCGACGCCTGCGTGCACCACAGTGTCCGCGTGCACCACGGCGCTTGTGCACACCACGCCGCCTATGTACACCACAGCAGCCGCGTGCAACACAGCGTCAGTTTGCGCCACCGTGCTTGCGGGCACGACAGCTGCTGTGCACACCACAGCGATTTGCATACACCACATCAGCTGTGTACACCACAGTGCGTGCTTGCATTGCAATGCCTGTGTGCACCACGGCGCCTGTGCGCACCACAGCAACCGCGTGCAACACCGCGCCACGGTTGCATATATAATGTTAGAACGAATCCCGATGATAAAATGGAACGCTTGTGGGTTCCACAGAAAATGGGAAATACTCAGTATGGACAACGGAGCGCCGCTGGAATCTACCACTCCTTCCGAGTCCGCCCGCATCACCTTAACTCCTACCAATTGCGTCCAAGAGGCTCTAGCTAGATTGGTTGGCCGAGAAACAAGTGGACCGATTCAAGAGTCCATTCTGCGGTGCGCGTTGAGATGCGCACGTGCGTTGTAACGCCAACCCGCACGACAGGGGGCAAGGAGGAGGAGGACGAGGAGGTTGAGGAGGAGGGGGAAGGGAAGAACGTCGCATTTGATTATCAGCACTTTCTTGGCGTGGCGTCTAGTTGTCCACAGCAGATTTTCACGTACCTGCTCCGTCTACCTGTCCTATGCATGCGGGCATTGTGGTGTACACCGGCACTGCATTGCACGCGGATGTTGTGGTGTAAACACGCGCAGTGGCGTGCACAGGCGCTGCGGTGCACGCAAGCACTGTGGTGTACACAGGCGCTGCTTTGCACATGGTAGCTGCGGTGTACACATGGACACCGGCACTGTAATGTACGCGAGCATTGTGGTGTACGCCGGCGATGCGTTGCACACAGCTGTTGCGGTGTACGCAGGCGCTGTGGTATACACGCGCGGCGTGGTGCACGCGAGCGCCGCGGCGTACGCAGGCGCAGTGGGGCATATCGCCACCTACATGCTGCTCGCGTCGTGGTCGTCTTCGTCGTCGTCATGGTCGCTCGTCGCTCGTTGCTCGTCGCGTCGCGCGCGCGGGCGCGGCTGCGGTGCCGGAGCCACACGTCGGGGTGGGGCGTTGCGTCATACCCCCCCTCGCCCGCCCCCTCCCCCCGCCCCCCCGAACATAAAGAGACACGATTTTGCTTACTTTTTCTATGTCTCAACCTCGGCGTATCATATCACGATTTGTTGGACCATTGATCGCATGATCGTTAGATATATTGATATTTCCATCCCCTGATCCCTTGACCTGTTGATATCTGGGACTATTGATCCTTTTTGTCCATTGCCCCC